ACCAGAATGTTTACTGCAGCCCAATTCATAATTGCTAAGTCATGGAAGTGCCCAAGTGCCCATTGACCTGTGAATGGATTAATAAATTGTGGTATATGTACACCATGGAATATTATGCAGCCTTAAAGAAAAATGGAGACTTTACCTCTGACATGTTTACATGGATGGAGCTGGAACATATTCTTCTTAACAAAGTATCTCAAGAATGGAAGAAAATGGCTCAGCGCCTGTGGCTCAAGAGTCTAAGGTGCCAGCCACATACATCTGAGCTGGTGGGTCAGAATGCAAACCAGGCCGCCAAACAACAATGATGACTGCAACCAAAAAATAGCCAGGCATTGTGGTGGGCGCCTGTAGTCCCAGCTATTTGAGAGGTGGAGGCAGGAGAATTGCTTGAGCCCAGGAGTTGAAGGTTACTGTGAGCTGTGATGCCACACACTTTACCCAGAGCAACAGATTGAGGATCTGTCTCAAAAAAAAAAAAAAAAGGAAGAAAAAGTATCCAATGTACTCAGCTCTATTACAAAACCAATTTATAGCTTTTATATGAAAGCTATAACCCAATTATAGCCCAAGAATATGGGGAAAGGGTAGAGGGAGGGGACGGGAGGGAGGAGGATGAGTGAAGGGAGGGTAATTGGTGGGATCACACGTATGGTGCATCTTACAAGGGTACCTGTGAAATTTACTAAATGTAGAATATAAATGTCTTAACACAATAACTAAGAAAATGCTGCGAAGGCTATGTTAACCAGTTTGAAGAAAATATTTCAAATTGTATCCCATGATTGCATTAATGCTATGATTTAGTAAAAAAAAGAAGAAGAGGAAGAATCAATGTGCCATTGAAAAAGGCCACATGGAAAAGAATGCAAGTGGCCCCTAGGAGCTGAAAACAGACTGGTTAACATCCAGTTTTTAAAAATGGGACCACAGTCCTCCTGCTACAAGGAACTGAATTCTGAAAATAACCTGAATGATCTTAGCAGCAGGTTTTCCCATTTTCCCCCATAGCCTCCATATGAGAATTCAGTCTGGCTGACATACTGATGTCAGCTTTGTGGGACTCTATGCAAAGAACACAATTATTCCATGATCAACTTCTGATCTACAGAACCGTAAGCTAACAAATGTGTATTTTGTTAAGCTGTTAAATATGTGGTAATTTGTTAGGCAATAGTAAACCATTACATTATGAGACACAAATATCTTTACTAATTGTGCCCTTCATGAGTGGTCTATCTACAAGCACGTTTTTCCAGACCTTTTCATCATTAATTTTCCAAGGTAATTTTCTCCAAGACCCAGACAGGTCAATATTTAGTCATTGCTCATGAGACAGAATAGATCCATATATACAACCAGGAAGGGTTTTACAAAAAAAAAAAAAAAAGGACAATATGAACCACATAAAATTCAATCCATTGGTAGCATATCCCTTTTCCACTGTCCTTCTGGGTTATGCCTGAGAGGAGCTATAGTAAAGCAGCCATCCATTTCCACCTGCTGTCAGCATACAAAAAAGATACACCCAGAATAGGCATTGTTTTATGCCTCATTTTCTAACTGATCATGGGTATGAAGAACTTCTCATGAGGCCATATATGATATATGTAGGTAGAGAGAAAGACAATGAAATAGTAGGATCTGATTCAACTGCACATGAAAATGTCCCGTCTCAGCTAACATAGGCCTGATCTTTTAAAATCATTTGCAATTAATGGTGGAAAGCTGATGCCCGCACCAAACTTTATTATTCAGTAGAGCAGACAAAAAGTTTCATTAAGTGTACCTTGATTGTGCAGAAAATTATTACCGTATGGTCAGGTATTAAGTCTCTATCAAGATCTGATAGCACACCAGGAGCAGCTTCTCAAATGTAGACAAGATGCCAAGAGAAGAGAACATAGTTTTTATTTAAAACTCCAGGGGGCGGCGCCTGTGGCTCAAAGGAGTAGGGCGCCGGCCCCCATATACCGGAGGTGGTAGGTTCAAACTCAGCCCCAGCCAAAATAAACAAAAACAAACAAAAAAACAGGAGTATATACTTTAATTCCATTATTTAGGTCTTCTCAGACTTCATGGAACCTCTCTATCTAGCACAGACATAATGCAATTGTATCTGCAAGTTCATGAGGCTGAAGTGTCATAGAAGCTCATGCTATAATCTGCACCTACTGTGGGTCCTTTTCTTGCTCTAGGTGTCACTGGAAACCTCACAAAGTCCAAGCAGAAAACAATAGGACATATGTCGTCTCTAAAATTCAAGACCTTAACTCCTCCCAGCTAAGTGGAGTAAAGTCATCTGCACATTGTGTGTTCAACTGCTACCCCTCTAGGTTCCTCTACGCCAGTGGTCCTCAACCGATGGGTCGTGATCCCCAGGAACTGTATTAAAGGGCCGCAGCATTAGGAAGGTTGAGAACCACTGCTCTACCCCATATCCTCCCACCATGGTAGGCATTCTTCTATTCCTTGGTGAGGCTGTGCTCCTGGGTCATATACAGGACCCTTTCCTGTTCTTCTACAGTATAGATTTCACCATACTATACTGTATAGTATACTGTATACTTTATACAGTAAACTGAGTTTACTTAGTTTGATTTTACAGACCCTGCCTGGCAGGGGGTTGAGAAATTCCAGGAGCTCTTCTTGGATGAGCTTGGTGCTGCTGAGTTTGTATTCTTTATTAATAGCACTTTGACGTAACTACTGCAAGCCCTGTTCAGCCTGTGATGCCTATGACTTCCCTAACCTTTTGGGTCTATAAGTGAATTATTCTGGATAATTTATTTGTTCAATTATTCAATTTATTGATGTAGATAGGGGCTGAACTCGGAGAAAAACTCATGGTTCCTGACTCTTTTATTAAGTACCTACCACTTGTGAGATACTTGTGCTAGACACTAGAAATACAAGTATTAAATGGAAAGGCTATGCTTTGAGATGCAGAGTCTAGTGTATATTTCTCAGCTTTTTTAACCACAACCAACAATCAGAAATATATTTTTCACCACAATCCAATGTGCACACACATACAAACACATAGCTGAAACACAAAATTCACAAAACAATTTTCACCCTAACTACTTGACATACAATTTGATATTTTCTATTTGGCTCTATTCAACTCTATTCTATTATATGCCATTAACAAGTGCAGATCTTGGCCCACTGAAATAAGTGCATGGTCTACTTTGCACAGGAAAAGGACAACTGCAGTTTGACACACATGGGTCTATCAATCTTTTGTGTGTTCTATATAGTGTATATATTTATCATTTTCAGAACATAATTTGTGTAAATGTGGGACTAGGGAGCCTGAAAATAGTCTCCCTCTAAGCTGGTGCTTCTCAAACTTTACTATGCACAGGAATCACCTTGGGATTGTGTTAAAATGAAGATTCTAACTCAGTAGATCTGAATTAGGGCTTGAGATTCTGAATTTCGAGTTAGCTCTCAGGTAATGTTGATGCAGCTGGCCCAAAGACCACAATATGTTCACTACTAAGGGTTTGAAAATCAAATGTATTAATGGATATACTGAACTGCTAAGTTGGGTCCTAATGAGTTTACTGAAAATGAACACAACCTAGGAAAGAAAGTCTGCAGACAAGATGTAATCTATGAGAACAGCATAGCCTCTATCATACAGATTTTTTTTTTTTCTGGTATAGCCTGCTCTGAAATATCTAAACATTGTGAGGAAAACATTTATGCATGCAAAAAGCACAAAGCAATTACAAATAAATAATTCTTTTGCAAAAAAAAATGCCTGAAAGGTATTAATAAGAGGCTCAAGCAACACTAGGGTGGTACCCATGTGTCACTGGTAATAGTAACTCTAAACTGGGAAAAGGGTTTTATCTACTTTCAGGAAAGGGGTCAAGGGTTAGTCAAAATTGGCTCACCAGTGACTCCAGAGAGATTGTACTCAGGAGAAATGGCACAGCACCCAGAGGACGTGGCAGTACCCAGGAGGGAGTGATATTGCCCTCCCAGTGCCTGGACTTGTTCCTGGCCATGAGTGAGACTTCCATCAGCCCTCCTCCCCCAAGTGTCTGATTCCATCCATGTTCCTGCTACTACATGAGAAGGGTGTAGGAGCCATTCTTCCCTTGAGGGCTGGGGGAGGCCAGCTCACAATACAGTTCACATACTTACCTGATCTGATACACATCTGATACAATGGGCAGTCTTGTGAGGCAACTATTATCCCCATTTCACAGATAACAAGACTAACCCTAAAGCTAAAGATCTATTATAATTACCGAATTTATTCCTCTAGCTATGAGTCCCAGAAATAATATAGGTTTTACCTAGCATCTTAATCTTTGATAGCAGGAATTTTAAGTGTTTTCACTGCCCTCAAAATTTCACTGAACAGTTCAACTGCTTATGATGGTATTGTTTTGTAGTTTTGTTTATTTTTATTATGACAAATGTAAACCATGCACTTTAGGAAGAAGTAGAGAATAATGAGTAGAGAAAAGAAAAAGAATTACACACAGGTGGAGTCATAAGATGATACTGGATCCACAAGAAGGGGCAGCAGTGCCCACTGACTTGGTTACAATTAGGAAAATCATGGGGAGGAACAAAGCAGCAGAGGCCTGCCATGGAGGTACCTACTCATCAGGTTATTGGACTCATTTGTCAATACAAGCTAGACTTATACTTGGCCACTATAAAGCAGGAGTCCTCAAACTTTTTAAACAGACGTCCAGTTCACTGTCCCTCCGACCATTGGAGGGCGGGACTGCGGGCCCAGGGACAAGTCGGCTGCTAAGCAGGACAGGCAGGGGCAGCAAAAACACCTGGCCGGCAGTATAAATGTCCTAGGCGGGCTGCATGTGGCCCACGGGCGTAGTTTGAGGATACCTGCTGTAAAGGAATAACCATTGCCTACCTTTTAGCATACACACTTTCAGAATTTTCTCTGTGCACAAATGCATTATGCAAATACATACAGTTTTACAAAAGTGGTCTGATACTGTATATGCGGTTCTGCAAACTTTTTTCTTTATTATTATTTTACAGTGAACCATGAACATTCTTACATGCACATGGATGAAAATCCTCTACTAAAAGAGCACTGTGGTTGGATCAAAAGGCTGCTGGTAACAACAGTGATAGCTAAAGCAAATAATTAGCTTAAGGTTAAAAAGCACAGGACCTGGCAAATATCTACCAAGGAAAGCAGGGCTGGCAATATTCTCATCAGAGATCTCAGAATTCAAGGCCAAAGGCATTAAAGATAGGGAATATCATGTAATCCCCGTTGGCCCCTACCTCCACCCCTCATTCCCCTGACACCCCGTTGGCCCCTTGGGGTAAATGAATCCTGTACATCTCTCTGCATCCAATGAAAACTACCCATTTTCTGCTTTTTCCTTAGCTCCTCCTGGGCCCTTGACACATCTCCACATTCTCTCATCATCTCCTCACTGCTCAAATGCCTTTCCCGTAAGTCCTCCTGAGAGTCCTTGGGGGAATCCTCCGTTGTGCCCCTGTCTGTTTTTCTTTTAGCTTTCCGGGGCACATAATCTTCAGCTGGACGCTTTTCAGCGGCCCGTGCCTGGCTCTCTGGCTTTGCCTGGGATTCTGTCTTGCCCTCACCTTCTGGTTTGCCCTCACCTTCGGACTGTCCCTGCTTTTCCTGCTCTGCCTGCCTTCCCTCATCTTCTTCTTGTCCCTCCTCATCTGGCTCTCCCTCATCCTCTAGCTTTCCCTCACATTCTGGCTTCTCTTCCATGTCCAGCTTTTTTTCCTCGTCTGACTTTGCTTCATCTTCAGGCTCTACGTCGTCTTCTGGCTTTCCCTCGTTTTCCGGTTTCCCTTCATGTTTACTATAGGGTTTCTCCATGTTGAGGTTTTCCCACTTTTTCCTTTCCTGGGGAGTAGGAGGGAAGAAAAGAGGAGACATGGGAAACTGAAGGCATGGGGTGATTGCAAGTCCTGATAGCACTTGCATCTTGCCCCTCGTGAAGGATCCCCTACCCTGGCCCCAAGTGTGCCTTCTGCCCACTCCATACCCCACCATTTCTCCCACACAGATGAGCCCGCCAATCCCTAGCAGGCCCGGCCACTTCTCTACACTCCTTCAGCCTGGACAATGGGGCCTCAAATTCTGCCCAGGCCATTCCTCCCACTGTCTCAACCCTTCTGAGTTGCTGTCCCTGCCGCCCACCCCTTCACCCACCTGCAGAGATTCTGGACAGGTTGCTCCTCCTCCTCAGGCCTCGCAGAGTGCCAGGAACAGACACGGAGACCTGCAGACAGGAGACTGGGCAGGGACTGCGTGCTCAGTGGGCTCAGAGGGACTCGGTTCCCTTTCCTGCTTCCAGGCCCTTTTCACCCGACAGACATCTATCTACCTCTCCCGCACCCCAGCCGCCATTTCTTTCCAGGCCTTGAGCGCCAGACCTAGATGCTTTCAAATTGCTTTTGGGTCTCACGCCTCCTCCCCTGGAGGCAGCTTGCTCCATCCCACCCGCTTTTCACAGAGGTCAATTTGTCTTCATAGGTGCAGAGTGTGAGAGGGGGTTATTTCCAAAATATGCCTGCATTTTGCTGTCGCACTGCGGGGGCGCCCCCCGCCCAATTTCCTGATCTAAAGGGGATGGGGTGCTCACAGGAGGAGGATTGAGGAAGCTAGCTGACCTGCTGCGGGGTCCCCCCGCCCCCACCCACTCTGTGCCCCCCCCCCGTCACCCCTCACCAATCTCCCAGATCCCTTCCCCAGCCCCTTCCCCACCACTCCATCCTTGTTCCCATGTCCGCGGTAAGCACCCGCCTTCACACTGACCTGCAGGAAGCGGAGACAGGTCTTCGCTGCCTTCCTCGGGCTGGAGGAAGCCCGCTCGCTGCTCTCCCGCCACCTGGACAACCCAGGGAGCTAGTTCTGTATGGGCGCTGAGACCAGACCGGGGCAGCAAGGTGAGCCGGCTGGTGGGCGGCACGAGGGCTGGTACCCACATAGGCACCCGGCCAGTCACATGAGCCCTGCGTCACTGGAGCTTGGCCATCCCCTGCCCCGCCCACCTCACCTCCCTTTCCTAGAGGGACTGGGAAGCTAAGGATGGTGGGAGGGGTGTGTGTAACAAAGGGGAGGAAAGTCTTGAGGGGGAATGGGAGGCTTTCTAACCCCAGGTGCTTTACCTGGCACATAACAAAGCATCCTTGCACAGCATCCCTCTCAGATGCACACTGTGGCCAGCTGATCAGAGAGGGTACCCTACTTTGCCAAGAGCTTTCAGCTTTAGCTCTTGAGCCCCATAATCCGCTTTCAAGACAGGCTCTGCCTGACTCAAGCCCAGGTGTTGGTGCCTGTCAGGAAGCTGAGCTCCTGATGCTCCTGGGGCACTGTCCTGAGCCTCCTCTCTCCTCAGTCCCTAGGTTCACACCCCGTGGGTCATCTTCATTTCCCTATAAATACCAATGACTCCCAAATCTACATCTCCAGGATATTTCCTCCTCTGAATCTCATATCAGCCTTGCCAACTGTCTATGGGATATCACTGACCGAATGTTCTTGAGGGACCTCAAAGTCCATGCACCCAAACTGATTTCACTAATTTCCTTCTAGCCTTTGATGTTGACCTTTTGCCGCACTTGAAACTTACCCTCTGATATCTGACATGTTTTCATGGAGAATGTCAGCTGTGAAGCGTTAAGACATTTTAAAATATGAACCTCTCGGATGTACAAAGGTATCCAACACATTCACTACTGCTTCTTGCTTCCTTTTTCTTCGTTTTCTTACCTTTCCTTTCTTTTCCTTCTCTTTCATTATTTTTCTCTTTGACATTTGGGAAACCACCACTCAACTCAGAGAACTTGAAAATTGTCAATATTATTGTTACTGCAGTATGGTACCATATATTTGGGTTTTGACAAGATGGTTATGATGTGTTTCGCTTGAGGTCTCATTGAGATTATCCTCTTTGCAATGCATCAAACTTCTTGGATACATAGATTGTGTCTTTTATCAAATTTGAGTAATTTTCAGCCATATTTCTTTAAACATTCTTTCTTCTCCTTTCTGTTTTTCTTTTCCCTGTCAAATTCCCATAATGCACATAAGGTATATGTTAGTACACTTGATGATGTTCTACAGGTCTCTTCAAATCTGTTCATTTTTCCATGTTCTATATATTTTGTGTCCTCAGCTTGGTTAATATTAAGTGACGTATCTTAAGTTCCCCTTTTCTTTCTTCTGCCAGCAAAGATCTACTTTCATACTCCTTTAGTGAGTTTTTCATTTTACTTTTTGTACTTTTCAGTCCCAGAATTTCTATTTATTTTATGATTTCTATATCTGTTTATATTTCTATCTTTCTGAAGACGTTCTTCTCCTCCTTTCCTTTAGTCATTTGCCCAGGGTTTCCTTTAGCTCTTTGAGGATATATAAGACAGTTAACTAAAAGTCTTTATCTAGTTAGTGAAATATAGTACATGGACTTCCTCATGGATAGTGCCTAGTAACTTATTCTCTTTCCTATGAATGGGCTATATATTTTTTTGTCTTTGCATAACACAAAATTTTGTTGGAGTCTGTATATTTTTAATACAATGTTCAGACTCTGGAAATCATATTCTCCCTCTTCTTTGGGTTTTGTTGTCACTCTCCCATGGGTCATTGTTTACTTCCTTTGTGACTTATTAAATTATTTTTATAAATTCTGTATTCTTTGCTATATATAGCATCTAAACTTTATGTTTTATTAGCTTATTGATCAGCTGCTTTCTGGACACAGTTACTTTAAATGCCTAAAGCCAACAAATTCCCCCTTTCTTCTGCCTTAAGAAGAAAGAAAAGGGGAACTTTAGGCTTTAAGCTTTTAAAGTAACTGTGTCCAGATAGCAGATGACCAGTAAGCTAATAAAACACAGACTTTAGCGGCTACATATGACAAAGAATATAGAATTTGCAAAAATAGTTTTAGAAGTCACAACAAAAGAATTAAAAAAATACTTTTGTAGTCTTTCCTGGTGATCTCTGAGTTGTAATACTTTTGTTGTTGTTGTTTTTTATTTTTTGCAGTTTTTTTTTGGTGGGGGCCAGATTTTAACCCACCACCTCCGATATATAGAGCTGGCGCCCTACTCCTTGAGTCACAGGCAACTCCCTGTAATACTTTTTTAATGCTTTACTTTTTGCTTGTGCAGAGCCTCAAGGTGAATGTTTGAGTTTTCTCTGGCCTTCTCTGTGTATGTGTCAAACCTTGGGTATACACACGGCCTTCATAATTTTCCCCATGTGTGATAACTTTTAAAGGTGCTTGTTCCTTCACCTATCTTTTGTCTCTTAAGTCTTCCTTCTCAACCTTCTCTGTCTTTATTGCTTTTCCTGTGTGCTATCCTTTGCTTCAGACTTGTGTGGCTAATACTTGTGACTTTAGATGCTTTGGGCAAAAGCCAACTGAGAAGTCAACCCAGTACCAGCCCTAGGAGTGCTCCCAATCTGGTATAATAAAGGGAAGCCTTAGTGCTGGTCTTTGAGGGAGTTACCAGGCAGGCAAAGACCCACACCACAATGCTATGAGAATAAGATCCAAATTTTTACCTGTTAGTAATTTCTATTTTACTGTTCCCTAGTCCTCGAAAACCACCAATCTGTGCTATATCTTCTATTAGTCTGCTAGAGCTGCATAACAAAATAGCACAGATTGGTGGCTTAAGTACAATACATTTATTTGTCATAGTTCTGGAGGATAGAAGTCCAAGATTAAGGTGTCAGCAGGTTCAGTTTCCTCTGAGGCCTTTCCTTTTGCCTGGATGATGGCTGCTTTGTGTCCTTATATGCTGTCTTCTATTTGTAATTTATATTTTTAGATGAAAAGTAAAAATTGTATATGTTTATGGTGTACAGCATGTTGTTATGATATCTGTACACATTGTAAAAAGGCTGGATCAAGCTATTTAACATATGCATTAAATCACATATATTTTTTGGTGGTGAGAACACTTAAAGTCTACTCTCAGCAATTTTCAAGTATACAATATCATGTTATTAACTATAGTTACCCTTATGTATAATCTAGCTCCTGAACATATTCTTTCTCTTTAACTGAAATTTTGTGTTTTTGATCAACATCTCCCCAACACCCCACCCCCAGCCTCTGATAACCATCATTTTACTCTGTTTCTATGAATTTTACCTTATTTATTTTATTTTATTTTGAGACAGAATCTCACTCTGTTTCCCAGGATAGAGTGCTGTGGCATCAGCCTAGCTCATAGCAGCCTCAAATTCTTGGCCTCAAGCAATCGTCTTGCCTCAGCCTCCCTAGTAGCTGGGATTACAGGCACCCACCACAACACCCAGCTTTAGAGATGAAGTATGGCTCTTGCTCAGGCTGGTATTGAACTAATGAGCTCAAGCTATCCAGTCACCTTGGCCTCCCAAAATGCTAGGATTGTATGTGGAAGCCACTGTACCAGGCATGAGTTTTATCTTTTTTTGATTCTACATATAATAGAGATTATACAGTATTGGTCTTTCTGTGCCTGGCTTATTTCACTCAACAGAATGTCCTCTGGGTTTATTCACATTGTTGCAAATGTCAGTATATCCTACTTTTTAAGGCTGAATATAATTATGACATTTTATCACATTTTACTTCTCTGTTCATCCATTGATGGATAATTGCTTAGAATTTTCTATATCATACAGAATTGTGTCATTGATGGCAGTAGGCATCCTTGTCTTTCTCCTGATCTTAGAGGGAAAGCTTTCAACTTTTTGTGTTTGAGTATGGTGTTAGCTATGTGATTGTCATATAAGACCTTTACTCCATTAAGTTATATTCTTTCCATACCTAATTTTTTGAGCATTTTTATCATGGAAATATGTTGAATTTTGACAGGTTTTTTTTCTGCATCTATAAAGATGATGCTGTGCAGCACCTGTGGCTCAAAGGAGTAAGGCACCAGCCCCATATGCCAGAGGTGGCAGGTTCAAACCCAGCTCTGGCCAAAAACTGCAAAAAAAAAAAAAAAATGATGCTGTGACTTTTTTTCTTTATTCTACTAGTATTGTGCATGACATGGATTGATTTGCATACTTTGAACCATATTTGTATCCCACAGATAAATTCCCACTTGATTGTGGTATATGATTCTCTTAATGTACTGTTAAATTCAGTTTTCTAAGATTTTTTTTGTAATTTTTACATTTATGTTCATCAGGTATATTGGTCTGTAATTTTCTTTTTATTGTAGTGCCATTGTCTGCTTTAGTGTTCATGTAATGCTGATCTCCTAAGATGAGTTTAAAAGTATTCCCACCTCTTCATTTATTTGGAAGAATTTTAGAAGGGTTTTTATTAGTTCTTCTTTAAATGTTTGATAGAATTCAATAATGAATCCATCAGATTCTGGGGTTTTTTGATGGGCAACTTTTTATTATTGATTTAATATATTTTCTTGGTTTTTGTTCAGGTTTTCTATTTCTTAATTTTTGAGTGTTACTAAAGTGCTTCATAGGTAATACACACACATATTACATGAGTTCTGACAATTAAGTTCATGAACTTGCCACTCTGCACTTATGTTGGCAACATAGTACAAACAGATTGGTATATCAGTGTCTCATAGTTCTGTTCGTGTCAACGTGTAGTGGTGTCTTTCTGAGTGGCATTCATTATTGTTGGGTGCTTTTGTGTGCTGTCACAGAAATGTTGGAGCTTCAATTAGAGCAATGAAAAAAAAGTTAAATTTCTCATTAAACCTGGCAAGAGTGGAAGTAAAACCAGGTATATGTTAATTCAGTTTTATGGGGATAATTTCCATAAAGAAAATGGAAGTAAAAATGGAATAAACATTTTTTGAATGTTTTGAAGATATAGAAACATTTTGAAGATATAGAAAGTGTCACTGATGAAGAGAGGTCAGGGTGGCCA